TCTCTCTCTCTCTCTCTCTCTCTCTCTCTCTCTCTCATGACACAATAAAATCGTCAACTATTACCGACTATATTTGTAGCGTTACTATTGCGTTCGTGTCTAGCTTAGCCTGCGTTTTGTACACGATTCTCCGCGTGATCCGCCGTTTCTTCCTCCCTTTCCGAGTTGTCGCCTAATTTTATTCACAGTTAGAAAAGATCGCCACGGATACGTACATACACAAGACGGAGAACCGACGGTATCCGCGCGTGAGGGCCGCTTAATACGCGTGTAAGTGTACGTACACCTACAACGTATCGACGCGCCTGCACTCGAGGCGATATTTCTCAGGTATAACTTTGCTCGCAGGTAACTCGAGTTGCCCAGGGTCGCCATCGACCTCCTTCGCGTCGGGATAAACCAAATGTTCGGCGTTACTTTCGCGATAATACCTACGCAACAGGCTCGGATTTACGGACGCGTGTAAACATATAATCGCTATGTCAGCTTCTCTCTCTCTCTCTCGTTCTCGCTCTCGCATGGACGTATCCATTCTCGAAACGCCATTATTGGAGCGAACCTTCGCACTTCGTTCTCATGCATCTCTTTGTTCAAGGCTCGTCCTTTTTCGTCCTTTTCATCGAAGGACACGGGATGTGCGTGCGCGCATAAACATAGTTTCACCCACACCCACGCGACTGCGCGATGATGCAGCATGCACCGGCGTGCGACTGAGGCTCCACGAGCTTCTTGCATCGCTTCAGGAATGTTACGACTTCTTGCATCGTGACAAAAAAGCCCGAAACTGCCCCTGTTTTCGAACTTTCAACGTGCAAATGCGTGTCTCTCGAGGTTGTCCCGACGTCAAATTAATCATCCGCGAGTCCATTACCGGGACATCGTTTTCCTTCCTAATTTGGCTCGTAATTAGATAGAATGGTTGCGTTCTTTATTCGAGACGTTTTTCCGAAACGAGACCTGTTAACCGGAAGAGCGAGTTTATCGACTCGTGCTCCGTATATCGATCGTTCCTTTATACAAGAGAAAGAAATCCAGGCATCGAGCTTGCCGCCCGGTCGGAGTCCAACGGCGAAGATTTATACCTGCCCCTGCCCTGTCGGCCCGAACCGAAGTGAGACCTAAGTCGTTGCCGCCTGTCCTCTAGTCTACCGCTCGTCTACTAACCGTTTATACAACGCGGTCCCCTATTTGTAGAGACTCTAGAGGCCGCAAAGGTTCGTGCTATTTATACAATGTCGAATCAAAACTTTCATAGCATCTTCGTTATATGATCACGCGATTGTTTCGTCGCAAGGTTCATGATTGTTTACGACCG